GACTTTTCAATTCAGTTATACTCCCCAGCCCTTTTAAAATTTTATTATTATTATTATTATTATTATTATTATTGTTTTATTTGGAGACAACATCTCATTAAATTGCTAAATTGCTCTTGAATTTGGGATCCTCCTGCTGTAATCCTTGCTGAATTCTGGGATTACAGGCCCTGCTCCACCACACCCAGCTTCTTTCTGATGTTTTGATGAGCCTTTTGTGAAAGTCTGAAATGCACCTATATTTCTAGTGTCACAGAATTTTTTTGAAATCTGAAAATAAAATGAAGTGGTTTTGCTTCAACTTATTTTTTATTTTTCATCAAACAATTCCTTGTGGTAAAAAATGACTGAGAACATGGTGGCTCCAACTATGCTTTTATCATGAATTGTAATGGTATTAGTTTTCCTATTGCTGAGGGGGAAAAATGCCTGACATAGACAACTTAAAGGAGGAACTACTGCATTTGGCTCACAGTTTCAGAGGTTTTATTCTATGGTCCGATGGTTCTTAAGGCAGTCTTCATGGTGGAAGGGCCCGGTAGGGCAAAGGTGGTCATTTTGTGGCAGCCTGGAAGCAGAGCACAGGAAGAGCACCAGCACGAGACACACCCTCCAAGGGCCAGCCCTGCGACCACCTCCTCCACTTGGGCCCCACTGCCTGACAGAGATGGAGCTGTGAGTCGGGGATTAATACACTGACGGATATATGGAGCTCCCATGATTCAGTCATCTCAGACATCTCTTAATCCACTTGACAGGCAAGGTCAACTGCACAGCAGCATAAGTGAACTGCAAATATTGATCCTAAAGTTGTTATTTCTAAAATAATATGTTATATTCCATTCTGATCCTTCACTGATATAACTGATGAATTTAGAATTAAAACCAAAGCCTTGGGGCTGGGGATTTAGCTCAGAGGTTCTGCTGCCTGCCTCAAAAGCACAAGGTCCCGACTTCAATTCCCAGAACCAAAAAAAAAAAAAAAAAAAAAAAGACTCTGAGTAAGATGGAAATTTTCTGGTATCTTTTGTGCATACCTACAAATTACAGATAAGATATATATACACATACAGTATATACAGAGTATATATTTTAAAGCAGTTTCATATCTACAGTGTAATGAATAAAAGACATGAACACAAACCTCACAGAGAACAAAGGACCAAGAAAAACATGAAAAGTTTCCTCTGACTGATAATTAGAAAATGCAAATGAAATAGTGCAGTATTATCAAAATAATAGCTGAAGATTTTCCAAGATTTTTGGCTGGGTAATTTACTTAAATTTAACAACAAAATAGCTGAAAAGAAACTGACAGAAGTACAAATCATCACATTAGTATTTATTCTTGGTCCTAAAACATCCTTTTAAAATAAACAAGATTATGAAAAATATTGAGAAAATTGGCTATGTTGCAATGCTCAATGTTCCAATTTGAGCAATTTCCGTGAATGTATTTTTAACAAAACTGATCTTATTCTGATGCCATTCACATTTGATTCTATAACCATAAATCCCAGAATTGATTTGTATATTGCGAAGAATTAAAATCTCAAAGTGTGTTTTGTTTTTATCACTAATATCTTTATTACTGAGCCTACTTATTTTTACCACTCTTTTGACTGAGTCAATTTTTTGTCCAAGAAGAATTTTTAAGAAAACTCTTGAGTACTGCACTTTTAATGAGTTTTTGCAGGAAGAGGAGATTCAATCTTTGGCCTTTATAAACATCAGTTTGTGTATCACATTTTGGGTCAGTTTTCAGCCTCAGTCTTTCTAGATATTAGGCAGCACCACCCCCTGGCACTGTAGCCCTCATCCCCCAGCCCTGGAATCTAAAGGCCGCCGTCCTCATTGCTCTGCTTTTCTGTCGTGTGAATTTAATCCTCCATCCTTCATATTCAGCAACTCCCCCAGAGCACGCCTGGGGGTTGGTCGTCCGCTACAGGCTTCCCCTCAGTATCTCCAGTCTCACTGTCACCGCCTCCTTTCTCGCAGGAGGCACTGCCCGGGTGCTAACTACCCGTCCTTCTGTGAACCCACTGGCTGCCCCCATCCCGCTCCGCCCCAGCCTCCCCCAGCTACCCCGCGCACACTCTAATTTATTCTGGTCGCTGAGGAGAACAGTTTAAAGCTCCGCGAGCGATTGGCGGTGCTGGTAACTGGCAGTGCGGACAAACCCCTGAGCAGCTAGAAGTGCAACTGACACAGTTCTGAGACTCTGATAAGGCAGACAAGTCTTAAGGAGCACTAATCATATACTGGGTGGGGGGCGGTAAATAAAAGTGCTTTGACGCCTGAAGGTGAAAAGCGGAAAAGCCTGGCCTCTTCTGCAGGATTATTAGCTAAGCCTCCATTCATAACGCAGGGGGCGAGGGTCCAGGTGAATCATCTGTTCTGCTGCACCACGTCTTCCTTAGGCATGGCCAGGCCAGGTTTTCATTCGTTTCCACACCTACTGCCTTGTTTGGTCTTATCCCGTGACGAACTGGGAGGAAAAACTACGCTTTCCCGCTACAGTCCGCTGCGGGAGGAGTACTGACTGTGGCTGAAGATTAAGAGGGGATGGGACGGAGGTAGTTGTGCGCATGCTCCGTCAGGGCGCGCGGGAGGGGCCCTGACATTTATTTGCGCCTGCGCTCTGGTTCGGGCCGACTCCGCCTCTGCGATTGTAGTTCGGCCTTGGGGTCGCGGGCGGCATGGTACCCAGCTGCCAGGTAAGGGGAGTGTGCCAGCGAACTTACGTGGGTGCCTAGCTTTTCTGGATATGCTTGACACTTCGTCCCTCTGCAGACTTGGCCCTAGTCTACCGACCTTCCTCCTTTCTCCCTTTCGACGCACACCCTCTGTCCCGTGCCTCGGGTCCGGGTCGCCGCCGCCCAGGTGGCCCCTGATTTGGGGACTTTGCTCCCGTTGCCCCAGATTCTGGACCCTCCAGGAACTCCTAAGTGTCCCGGCCCCCGAGATCAGGGGTGGCTCGTTTTTGAAGATCCCCTGACCTTTTCAGGCACCTTTTCTCAAGTTATTCACATTGACGACGATATATTTTTTAATTTTAAGAATGCATTTAAGAATTCTTGCGAAGAAGTGTGCTTCCTCTACAGATTTACAGAGCTTGAATTATTTGCAGACCTGTGATTATTTCGTGGAGAATAAACTGTACTGAATGACAGGCGGTGTGTTTTACTTGGTCGGATCCCTCAGTTATCAGGCTGATTGCACAGGTTTTTCCTAGGATATACTAGTTTATCCACTTGTTTTTTTAAAAGTCAGGTTTTGTATGTTGAGTAACTTAATCCCTGGCGACTGGGTCCAATGTAGTTCTAGACTGGCGTCAAAGATCATCCGGCAGTTGTGAAAACAAGTTATTTGCTGACTTGGCTATTTATCTTGTTTGCATAATTCATCTCTTGGCTCACATTTTGTTCACTGCTTAAGCTTTTAAAAAGTCGCTATAATGTTGTCAATTGAAAGTAGACAACATATTTTCTAAGGAGATATAATTAGGATTATGCACATTTAAATTTGTAAAACTAAAAAGCCTTCATAAATTATTTTGAATTGTGTTTAAAACAAAAAATTTTCAAAAACTGGACTTGTAGATACATTGAAAATTTTTGACTATTTAATTTTCTCTAACATTAAGTTTGTCTTTTATTAAAATAATACATTTGGAAAAAGAAAACAGTGTGGACTGTTAGAAAAGGACTATAAATTATTATTAAAAACACTTTTTTCCCTTTCAGATTGAAGTACTGTATTTTGCAAAAAGTGCTGAAATAGCAGGAGTTCATTCAGAGACCATTTCTGTGCCACAGGAAATAAAAGCATTGCAGCTTTGGAAAGAGATAGAAACTCGACATCCTGGGTAGTTAAAATATTTGTGTAATGCATGTGATAAACACTTATGTAATATAAAAAATAGTTTTTTAATATAAGAAAGAGTTACTAGTTGTATTTTTGGGGGACTACTCCTGAAATACTTCTAGTATTTAGAAATACACAACTCCTTTAGGAGAATAAAAGATAGTTTACTAAAAAGACAGTGAACTTGGATGCTCCCAGATGACATGGTTATATAATTTACAACTATTTTCATAATTTACAAGATATTGAAAATGTAGCTTCTGTATTTATACCATTAAGTGAAATTTTTACACATTCTATTAAAAGTGCATTTTATACTTTTTTATTTCTTTAGAACACTCAAAATAGAAATTCCTAAAGTTAACAGAAAAATGAGTCAAAACAAACCCTAGTTGCTGAACTTGAGTCTTGCAATATTTTCTTTTTTTTTCTTGGTCCTTGAAATTCTGTAATTTTGCTATGCTCATTCCTATTTTGAGACCTTTTTGAAACTAAATATAAGTGACCTATTTGAGGATGTTCTTGAAATATTAATAATGCCACTTAAAGCTGTAGGAATGTTTAACCTGGGACTTCAAGGCTTGATTTGGATTGGGTTGCTCAGGCATAGAATGCTGGCTTAAGCATGTAGCAGGCCCTGGCTTCCATCCATAGCACCCACAGACTGCACAATGTATGTTCAAGGACCCGGGATTTAGCTCAGTTGCACCATGCCTGCCTCTCAAGGCCAAGGTTTCGAGTTTGATCACGGTAGCAAAAAACAAACAAACCCACTGTGTTCAGAAGGAAACTTTAACCTTCTTGATTTCCTCTCTCAAAGTGCTCTAACAGTCAGTGAAACTTGACAGTGCCTCTGTACTGTATTGATTTTCATTTACCTGTAGGAAGACACCTAGCACTGTAGGAACCTTTCTAGCTGTACTTTGTGTGCTTCTATACTTAGACAGAAATCACAGACTGATTTGGTAATTTCTCTTTTCTGTTGACTTAGTTTAAATATTGTCTCCAGTCTGGTTTTGTTTAATTCCCCAAAATACACAACATTCAGTAAAGAATTGTTAAGAGTTTAATGTATTTTTGTAATGAATAAGTGTGTTCTTCAGTGGATATTTACTTTCTGCACAGAAAATGAGTCAATAACTTTGCAGATCATGCTTAAAACAATGATATTTATATAATATCTTTACTTGTAGCTGAAGAGTTTTGAGGTCTGTCACACACTTATTTCTAATCAGACTTTTTCTCCTTCAGATTGGCTGATATTAAAAATCAGGTGATATTTGCTGTTCGTCAAGAGTATGTCGAGCTGGGAGATCAGCTCCTCCAGCTGCAAGCAGGAGACGAAATTGCCATTATCCCCCCAATTAGTGGAGGATAATGCTTTTCAGCCATGTAGGTGAGAGATTTTTTTCTAAACCAGTCTCGTAGAGAGGGATTGTATAGATAACTTGTGTATGGTCTGCTGTTACTGTATATTCTTTGTAAGTCTGTCTGTACCAGTTCTGTACTGATGCAGTAACTCTTTATTGGTTCAGAAAGAATGAGGGATACCTCCTTACCATCTCTGTGTCAACTCTGTTGTACGGATTATAATATTAGTTTGATATATTAATTTTTTATTTAACATTGTTTGAGATCTTATATATGTGTCAGGCACGGTATTAAACTGTGGAGTATTAACATCCACATTTTGCCTGTGAGAAAACTGAAATTCAGAGAAGTTTAAATGTTGGTTTTTGTCACATAGCCAATAAGTGGCAGAGCCACTGAATTCATATTATTGGACTCTGTATTTTCTCACAAACATACTTAGTAAACAGTGGCTTTCTTGCACACAAAGTAATGCAGAAAAATTGCACAGCTAGAAAGTCAGTAGTCCACTGTGCTGGAAAAGAAAGCTTACTATAGTCCATTGTAACTACGTTACAGGTGGTCTCATGACCTAGGCCACGTTTCCATCATTCCAAGCAACTTAGTCCATATTTGAGTATGATAATGTGTAAGAAAATTCTTCATTGGATTTCAAGAGATCATGCTTCTTTTAAGTATAAAGAGATAGAGTGAAATTTATTTTATTGTCAACTAAAGAACAAAATAGATTAAGCCGTCCCTGATTTAAAACAGGTTAGTAATGAAAAACCTTTGATGAGATTTTATCCAAAATTAACAGCAAATACACTCAATAGAAAAATCTTGGTTCCACTAGAAAGAAAAACAAGTCAAGGATGTCTGATTAGCTTTTCATGCACTCCCCCAGCCCACCTTTCCTTTTCCTGGAAAGCAGTGCCTCAGAAAAGAAAGAATAGGTCTGTGTAGCAGATTGACCAGCACGTACACTCTTAGAGATCTTTCTCATGCCCACTATCTGGGAGTAACAGAATCCCTTATTAAATATGGATCTCAGTTTTATTTGAAAACTGTGGCCTTGGTATCATCAGCATGATTTCTGGAGTTTCTCAAATGCTCTTTTTCAGCATTTGGAATTTATTCAGAGAATAGACTGCTGTTAAAGGTATGTGTGTGTGATGGTTGTTGCAGTTCTCAGATTAGAAAGATTACTCAGTGTTGTATATTACTTCAGTGTGCTTGGCTGGATTTGTGTTATAAAATCTTAGAATCTGCCAGCTAGGTTTTGGTATTCTTCTATAGTCAGATGTTGGGAATTCCATGACTTAAAGCTCACAGACCCTATTTGTGTTATGTATGTCTTATTGCAAGAAAAAAGCTTGAAAGACTCTGGGACAAGAAAGAACATGATATGCTCATAAACTATCAGAGCTTGGTTAAAAAGTGACATACAAGTTAGGTGGAGGTGGTGACCTGAAAGAAGCTCAAGTGGCATATACAGTAGGTAAAAAATCCTGGAATCCAGTAGTGTATGAACAATTGTGCTTTTCTTTTCAGTAGTTGGAAGGAAACAGGGAAATGAGCATTGGACTTATTAAGTCTCCTTGATTAGAATTTCAGAACTTTGAAGGAGTCTTTAACTTCTCTGAGCTGTCTTTCAGTTTTCAGTACCAATGAAACCTCCCAGGATTTAGAATTATACTCCTGATGGCCCACAAGGCCCTACCTACTGGTCTGGCCGCAGCCTGCCCTTTCTCCTTTGCTCTCTGTATTTAGGCCTCCTGATATTTGTTCTTTCTTGTCCTAGAGCCTTCACTTTTGCCAGTTCCTCTCTTTGCCTGGGTTCTGTCCCCATTTCTTCATATCCTTATAATCCTCCAGGTCTCAGCTTTAAATACTACCTCTTGAATGAGACCTCTGGGATTCCTTTCTTCTAGCCCCCAAGCTCAGTCTCAGACCCTTGTTTATTTCCATAAAGTATCACCATCTGCAATTCTTCTTTATTGTTTTGTTTCTCCTATCCAAATACAAGCACCTGTGGAGAGGAACTTGTTAAGTATGCACTAATGACCCTTAGTGAGTATATAACATTCTATGAATTAAATGAGAAATGCACAGCAAAAGACTTTGCTCAACACCTGAAACAGGTGTGCAGTTTATTGTTTCCCCTGTTACTTAGTTGGGGTTATGCCAAGTTATAAAAGGAACCTAGTTCCTGTAGAATCTCCACCACTTCTACTCTCCCTCCTTCCTTTTCGGGTAAAGAAAAAGATGGTTCTAGATGTGGGGCTTAGTTATAAAGTGATGTACATGTAGGTAAAGGTGGTAATATCTCATCTGTACCATGATTGGAGATGAGTAGCAATTACAGAATTGAAATAAATGGACACATGAGATTGATTATATTTTAGTGATCAACTAATGTTGAATTCCTTTATATGTAATACCTGATTCATTAGGAATATTTGTGAATAGATTAATTTTGCTAAAATTTTGCAATTGCTTTTTTTTTTCTTTTTGAAACAGAATCTCTCTATGTAGTTCAGGCTGGCCTTGACACTATGTAGCCCAAGCTGGTCTTGAACTTGTGGCAAGCCTCCTGTTTCAGCCCTGTGCTTACAGTTGCTTATGTTTATCATTCACATTAAATCATGCCTCCTAACACATCTGATGGAGAAAAAAATATAAATGGGAATAGCCTACAAATTGAGTGTTTTGCTTCTAGTATTCATGGTAAGTTTAAGTAATGTCTTATTTCTAGGAAAAATATGGACGAAGTTGAAGAGAAATCTAAAGACATAATAAAATGCACTGCTGAGAAACTTTCAGTAGATGAAGTCTCACAGTTGGTGATTTCTCCAGTGTGTGGTGCAGTGTCCTTATTTGTAGGTGAGTTGTAATTTTCACAGCATCTGTTGACTACACAAGACAGTAAAAATTAGCAAGTGATTCCCATTTTCAGTGTTAATTGAGAACTTTAAGATACTGAGGAATAAACCAAGATTACCCAGATAAGTTTAATAGAATTTGTTTTTGTTTTTGTTTTGTTTTAGTAACCTTTTGATTAACCTTTAGTGAGACACAAAAAAGGCATGACAAAAGTCATAGCAAGGAGAGAAAGTTCTGTATTTTCCAAATGTTGAGAAAAAAAAAATGTACTTGAACATAATTCTGGAACATATTTTCCTTTTAAATATCAAATGATAACTATTAGTAAGAAAAGGAATACAGTTTGTTTTGTCATCTGAACGTTTCAGTAAGCTTGCTTAATCAGTGTTTATTTCCTTATCAGTTTTTGGATAATTAGCTTTTGTTTTCTTAGTCAAAGTCTGTTTGGAAATTTTCAAAGTAATTTTTAGACAAGTGTTTGTTTACAATGAAGAATAATCCTTTTTATTCTGTTAGTGTGCTATTTCTAAATTAGGGGAAAATTTTATTTTAATTTTGTGGGTTTTTTTTCTTTTTTTTAGGGACTACAAGAAATAACTTTGAAGGGAAAAAAGTCATTAGTTTAGAATATGAAGCATATATACCAATGGCGGAAAATGAAATCAGAAAAATTTGTAGTGACATTAGGCAGAAATGGCCGGTAAAACACATAGCAGTGTTCCATAGACTTGGGTATGATTTTCTTTACCAATTTGAAAATTAAGTATAGTCGTTTTCCATTTCTGTACAAATGCTGTAATCTTTCTTAGGAATTGTGTGTTACTTGGAGCACAAGGTTTGTGTATCGTTTCTGGTGGGCAGTGGAGATGGCTTCCACTCATTTTCTTTAATGAATGCTTCTTGGGTTATAAATTTGGGAGAGCCTTTGCTGCCTCTCTTGCTGTAGGTAGCACAGTACAAATGTGTAGACTTTCCAGCCCTGGACCTAAGTACCTGTGGGAATGTTTGCTAAAGTCCTTGAGACTTTTTGAGAGTTATTTCATGCTCTGGATTCTTTTTTATGAGTCTGTTAAAAATTTGAAATCATTAAAGTATTTTGCCTTTTTGTACCACTAAAAAGAGTATAAGTCTAGATTTTAAAAGATAGCAATTAAGACAACTTCTGTCATATTATTTTGTTATATCTCTAATTGTATTAATAACCAGTATTTTATTAGTAACCAGTAATTTTATTAATGAGTATTGTCAGTTCTGTTACTTATTACTATTATTTAAAATTCTGTGTTATACTTATCATGCAGTAACTTTGTACCTCTCCGTGCTTGTTTGAATCGAACCTTTGTTGAATCAGCTAAAGGACCCTTTCTTCTTGGTCCTCATCAAAAAGGACTTGTGGTCAGATGCTGACAAATTGGCCACATCAGGTTTGAGATCCACTTGGCTGAATGCAGCTGGGATGATTTTCTGTTTTCTTACTAAGCTGGTTGTTTAAATAAAATAGATCTATAATATAGTCCTGATATATAACTGGATTTTTTTCTCTTGCTTTTCTAGCAGATTCTTTAACATGTGGACTAGGAGGGGATAGTAATTTTTTTCTGTATTTTCTTAAAGCTTGGTTCCAGTGTCAGAAGCAAGCATAATTATTGCTGTGTCCTCAGCCCACAGGGCTGCGTCTCTAGCAGCTGTGAGTTATGCCATTGATACTTTAAAAGCCAAAGTGCCCATATGGAAAAAGGTGAGTTAAGAAAAATATCTCACTTTGCTCTGTGGACATGTTTTTTCTCAGGAGTTCTTAAAGAGTAGAGAATAAGAGTACATGCAGAATTTGTATTCATGGGCATTCCTTAATTACAGAATCTTATTTTCTATATATGTGAAATAGGGCATTTATGTAATATCTTTTTTACAAGTTTGTTAAACATGAAAAATTCATGCCCCCACAGAAGTTATGGCCCAGAGTAGGTCTCAACAGGTGATAACAGTTAGAATTCATAGTCTGGACTGTTGCATTGGTTCATGGATAAAGTCATATCCCTTGAATTAAGAGATCTTTTCAGTTAGAGGGTCTTTCTTTTGGAGAATGGGAATAGCACCTGGCTACTTAGGCAGTGGCTAAAATAGAAATTACTTAAGGTAGAAAAAGTCTTTGACTACTGTTCTTTCTTTTTAGAGAGGAAAAAAAGGGTGAGGAGATATTACTAACTCTTCTAGTTTGTTTTTGTTAATAAGTCAAGACAAATCAAGAACAAATAATCCTCTGATTAAAATAGAGCATTCTGAAGGGTTAAACTCCCCTCATTTTTCCCCTGGTTATTCACATTAGCAGTAGGATTGTTCTGCATTTGTAAACATGTGTAATTATATGTACCAATCCAGAGTTGCCCACAGCATTGCAGCTATTGGGAAAGTAGAGGAATAAGTGAACAGCTCAGAGGATCAGAAGATAAGAGCAGAGGGCAGGGCTTTAAAGGCAGAGTCTGTGTCCTTCCCTGGGCTTCCACCTCAGTCAGTGGGAGAGATGAGCAAGAAAGATGAACCAGGACTCAAGAAATTTGTTGAACAGGCTTTCTGAATAGCACCTGAAACTCCTTAGCTTTCAGGTTTTAGAGGATAGGCTATGGGAAAGAGAATTTAGTGGAGTCATATATAAGGTGGTTTTGCTGTTGATACCTCATGAGGCAGGACCTGAAGAGGGAAAGGTAGGAAGAGCATTCCAAAATGAGCTTCAGGTCTGGGTGTCAGGGACAGCATTCTTTACCAGGGAGAAAAGAATAGACAGCTGGCAAAGTAGCTATGAGAAGATAGCCCCAGAAAATCTGGGACAGGGTAGCAGTTGGGCATATTCTCATTTTTTGTGCTTTGAGAACTAGCTGGGCTATTTGCTTGTCTGTCTGCAGGGAAGCGGGAGAGGTGCAGGTGTTCAGAGATGTGCGTCCCTAGTGTCAAGAGAGAACAGAGCCAGGATCTCATGCAGTGGAGCAAACAAGGGACCAGTGACTTATTCTCATTGGGTGCAGATGGGAGGCCTTTCAGGCCTCAAAAATGCTAAATGGTTATTTTGAGAAAAGGCAGCAAACTCCAGAGAACTCAAAAGCAGTACAGAAATGTATCAGAGAAATTTAACAAAGGCATTGAACTTGTTACAAAAATATCAAAAAGAAAGCCTGGAATTAAAAAAGGACAGTTATATTTGGATTCCTCTCCCTATAGAAGTGGAATCTGGCTAGCATAGGAAGAGAAAGTGATATGTTCTTCTTTTCCCTCTTTTCTACAATTCTCTAAATTCTAGTTCTTCACAGCTACTTTGCCAGCTGTGCTTGGAGATCATCTGAGATAGAGGGATGGTGTGAGTGGGTAAACAGGAACATGCCTCAGGGAGCAGCTCACAGCAGAGTGCAGCCAGGCGTGTTCAAGAACACCTGTGGATGGTCACTTAATTTCACTGCTAATGAAAATATCCTGACTGCCTTTGGAAAAGCATATTTAGTACTGTCAAAGTAGAACCAGAGGTATGTTTGGAAAGAAGAGTATGTTTAGTGACTTTTTATCTACCTCTGTATTACTTAATCCCGCTGTCTCTTGTTCTGGCCCAAATGAAGTTCTTTTTTTTTTCTGTAGTTGTTCCTTGTCTTATTACAGCATCTGGTCATTTCCTTAATTGAAGTTGGAATCCTTATGTGTAGAGAACATATGTATTCATTTTTTTGCTCTCAGTGCCTCATACAGTTGTTGGTACTGACTGGATTATTGAAATGAGCGGACTGAAATAGATGTAAAATTAATTTTCTGATTTATTCAGTGTATTTTCATTTATTAAAATCGTCTCTCTTGGGCTGGGGATTTAGCTCAGTGGTTTCGCCGCCTGCCCTGCAAGAGCAAGGTCCGGAGTTCGATCCCCGGTACCAAAAAAAAAAAAAAATTGTCTCTCTTGAATACCTGTTATTGGTTCTGTTTTTCAGGAAATATATGAAGAATCATCATCATCATGGAAAAGAAACAAAGAATGTTTTTGGGCAAGCAGTGATTAATCACATATTTTAGAGCATTAAATCTTAAATTTAGCAAATTTTCATCTTGATAATCTTTTGATTTTTCTTCTACAGAAAAGATAGTTTCCTGAAGCACAATCTCTTAGGTTTTACCAATGGATCAAGTAGAAGAAAAAAGAAGGAAAAATAAATGGTTTGGGGGATCTAAGAACTAGAGATGGGGAAGAAATGAGATCATTTAACTGTGAGGAAAGATGTCTGTGGTAGACATACCCTTCCATGATTAATTTCTAATTATGACTCAATTCATATTAAAGTGAGGCCTCTCCTCACTAACTTTAACTGTTTCAGGGAGAACTCTTTGTCTGCTAGCCCCAGTGCATTGATAGTGTTATCATCAGGGACGCATTGTAGAAACGTTGGGAGAACTGGAAAGTCACTGTCAGACGATTTCGCTATTGTGTTTGCTATACATTTTCAGAACTTACATATTAAAAAAACCTAACTCCATGATTTAATGATAAACCTAAAATATGGAGACTTCTAATATTTTAGTCTATGATTGTACCATCATACTTGTTGTATTTTATTAGTTATTATCAGTAGACAAGTCAGCATAAAATTGTTAAGAAACTAACAACATTTTTATGTTTAACAACATTTTAATGTTTCAAATTTAACATGACTGTTAAAGGAAATTAGGGAAATTAATATTAGAGAAATTACATGATTTCTAAAGTATTTGAGGGTATTTTTCTGGATACTAATGCAACCTTATCATTAGTGAAGTCATTAAAAACTTTTCTGTAAGATTTTTATACTAAATGATACAGTTTTTGCTTGATCAGCGATATAAT